AATACCGGCCTGAAAGTCGCGCGTAGAGAGGTCAGTAACTATTCCATCCTTCGTTAGGCTCTGGCATTTGTGAACAGTGATAGTAAACGCCACAATTAGGGGGAGCTGCGTGCGAGCGCAGGTCTCGTTGCCCACTGGGAAGTCACGGGTGACTGGGAGTATTGGGAAGATTTTCCTGCCTTCGGTAGTTGTTAGATACGCCGGTCCGTCGTAGCTGTCGAAATCTACCATAATAACCGCTGGGGGATCTTTATATGGGTCGGCACCTGCGTTCCAGGCGATATCGTACACAGTGCCCTGGGCTCCGTTCACTAGGCCGGCTGGCTGCCATAAGGTAGATTAATCGTGAGCATTACCCTTGCGCCTTTAGCAACGGGAAATTTGTTGGATAGATTTCCAGCGTTGTCGCTTGTCGCTTGCGCTGCGCCTTTGCCCCGATTCTTTGCCTCCACTTGTATTGCTGGCGCGTTGAGGTGGACCATATGTTCGTAATTATATTCGTTGACCCGCGCCTTTGTAGAGTACACCCGCAAAACTCAAAGTAACTACGTACGGATGGATGTACAATGCCATAGTACGCATAGTACAACATCACGTCGTGCTAAGCCACAACACAGCGCATGAATGCTGTCGAGACATAGCTGAGATTTGCCGGTCGCCCTTGGCACGTTCAGGTCTCTCGGCATATCTATGGCCCAACATTGAATACCCCTCCCGAGTTAAATTACAGTATTGACTCGTCGTTAACCTGAGCCAAGGAACCTAGTCAGTCAGCTTGAAAAGCGCCCCACGATAATTTTACAAGAGCATCTCTTGACGCAAGGGCTATGCGCGGCTATGTAAGCCCAAGCGATATTAGGACAGGGTAGTAGTGGCATTAGCATTAAAGGCGCAAGTCTATTGGGCTGAAAATCTCGGCAAGCGAGTCAGGAGAAAAACCATACATGCTTATTCAGCCGAAGGCTGTGTATACATTAGTTCTTGAGTTTTCCTGAATAATGAGGGTTTGGTGCAGGCTTGAAACAAAAGTTTCTATTGGTCCAAAATTTGTATGGGACAATCGCTAAAGTAGGCTGGATTGGTCGGTGGCCCTAGAAAAGTAGGTACAGACAGGTACCTTGTCGTGATGGGGTTGTTTCTTTGTGTACCATGGCCAGACTTCCTTTCATCCATTACTACTGAAGCCGATGCACAGCGTTATTGAACATGAACTATGGCTTTAGAGCTAATAGCGATAATGGATCTGATTTAGGAGTCCATTGCCCGTCTTGCCGCGAAACGAAGCCCAATTTGTTTATTAGCGTACAAGTATTCCAGGAGTTCATGCAATGCTTCTCCTGTCATGCAAGTCATGCGAGTCCACAGCTACCTGCCCTGGTTTATTCAAACGCAGCATTGTTTATGCTAACGGAGCATTGTCTATGCTAACGTAGCATTGTCTATGCTAACAAAAGCCTACAAATCGGTTTATGCAAGGCCTTCAGCTATGCAATGTTACGTTGAGTCGTGAAGCTACTGCTATAGTCTATGCTTTAGTACGAAAGCGTGATAAGTAGCCTTAACAAAATAATATAAAGTCTGCTACTTGCCTTAAACATAATTCCATGTTTTAACAAGGCTCAAGTTACTTCTTATTTACGTCTAGACGAAGCTTTTGTTTTTAGTATTACACACCAGTTGACAACATCAACATGAAGATTTCAATCGCCTGCCTTGCCCTTCTCGGACTAAGCTGCGCAGAGCTAACTATTGTTGGCAGAGCGCCCCAGAGTCCGCCGTATAAGGAGACATCGCCAAGCGAACAAATTGCTGATCAAACAGTAAAGGGCATGAAGGGGTGGTTCGGCGGGCTTACGCCCCCGCCGGGAGGATCCAAACCCCCTATCAAGGGCATGGTTGGGAGCGTGCCAAACTCTCCCAGGCCCGAGAGCAAGAGCGAGTCTCACAGGCTAAACAAGGATGGGGGTAATGTCCAGGGAAATATAAAGAAGCCTAACAACTCGTGGTCAAAGAACAAACTATGCCGGAAGCGCGATGGCCGATGCAACTACAAGTCACGCAACATACGGTTGAAGAGCGGGGCGCGGTCGGGGGGTGCGGTTGCTTTTATGCAATTAGCGCCGTATGCAAGGAATGCACTTGAAGAAGTCAAGCAGTGGGATAATCCCATTGGTCGGGGTGTGAAGTGGTTCGATGATGCAATGACAAACATCCAGCAAGCAATTGGAGGAGAGCAGGTCCCTGAGATTTATGGAAACGAGCTCAAGTTGAAATTTATCTGTTGGGTGAGAGGGGAGCAAAAGTACCCTAATGATGTAGACAAGGCGTGCGAACGTCAAAGAGACCAGAGTCAAGGAAAGCAGAGACCACCAGAGCCCGCGCCGGAGTGGCTTACGGGACTCAACCAGCTCCTGGAGGTTTGTTATAAGCTTGAGACGGACTCTCCGGAGGATGAAAACCTTCGCATCAAACTGCAAGGAAGCTGTACCGAGCTCGAATCAGAGGTACACAGGGTGGAACATCCGGTAGTGATAACAGAGGGGATCCCAAAGATTACAGATGTATCAGGGAAATGCAAGGTAAGTTGTTGGTGAAATACCGGCGAGAGACGTTCTATTCTTCTTAAGTAATTGAAACTAACTGCAAGTATAGTGCGATGCCTACAATTTGCCACCAATTACCGACTCCTGCCACAACACATGTCTAGCATCCTATGCCTTAGGCGGGTGGAGTCTCGATCTAACCAAGGAAAAGAAAAAGGTTGCGGAAAATCCGGTGGTGGTGGAAGAGATCCCAGAGAAAATAGAAAAGATTCCTGATGAGGACCTCGAGAAGGCAAACCCGCTTGCAGAATTGAGCCTGAAGCAGAAGGACCAACTAGGGAGATATGGTGACGTGGTTGTTGAAGTGAAGAATGAGACGTCTAATGCTCATACCTGCTACGATAACTACCGGAGTAATAGCGACAAGGCTATTGCTATTAGCATTGAGGATTGCGATAAACAATACTTCAAAGTCCAGTCCCTGCTCCGAAAGGCCCGCGAGATAAGAGAAGAGCCTGACTTTCCTCCAGGCTTATGGATCTTCGAGTTACCGGACATAAAGGATGGTCGTACAAGCCTACAAGGCGATGCGACAAAAGAGCTGCAGGATATTCTTCAAGGCTTAACCAAGGTCGCCGATCAAGCATCCATCTTCCAAAAGCAGGCAGAGCGGCTGCTGTCTGATAAAAGTGCCTCTGTTGATTGAAACACACAAGCGCTTTTTGCTACCAGAGTGGCAAGTGGCAACAGTATTCCGAAAAGTATTAGATATATTTAGTTTCTAGTGTATTGAGGAGAATTGTTGAGAGTTAGTGACTCCATGTACGCAGCCACACTGTACAATGTATACTGGCTAGTATATTTAGAAGTAGGGCTTCTCCCACTGTCGTGTCAAATCAAGTCTTCCGGGAAACTCCACAATCGTTGTTGTTGCGATGTAAATCGCTTACG